AGGGAACTGCATGTCAGTGCCTTGTCAGTCTGGGAGAAGCCTGCCACTAATTTCTAGGCCTTTGGTCATACAGTGAAATTCTAATATGAAAAAGTATTCAAGCATGTAATGCCTGACTTGCATTTTTGAGAAGGTATAATCATGTGAGGATGGGACCAGATGCCCTACTCAGTGCTTTAATTAGCTCCAACAGGCATTTCAGTGTACTCTGGATCCATTTTACTTGAGCATTTCCCATTTTTAAATTCTTGGCACAGCACTAGTGACTCTCTCAAGCCCTGTGTACAGAGGCTGAGCTCTCTCCAGATCCAGTTTCAAAAACAGCTTTTAATTATAGGTAGATGCATGAGTCATGTGGGATGGGGGCTATGAATCAGGGATCAGATATGCTTTTTACACTATTATTCTTATCTTGCTCCCCAACTCTTCCCACCTAGGGGAGAGACAGAGATATCCCTCATGCTGGAGGGGGGGGATCACAATCAGTGCTATCAGAACAACTTGGGTTCTCATGACAAGTCTTTTAAAATGCATGCAGATATTTCAATTGTACATGAAAATCTGACAGGAAAATGTTCACCAGAATGGTATTTATGTCGCAGACATAGCTAAGTAACTGTAAAGACAGTATTTATTAGCCTTATTGCACTTCTTCAACCACTTCCCCTTCCGAAACACTGGCACCTAAAGAACGGTAATGGCAAGCCACACCTCAATATAAACACAACATTATTGCTTGAAATACTGAGCTGATTTGCCTTCAGCAGCCCTGTCATAAGAACTTTGGTGGCACTGCAGATCTGATGATCAAGCCATTTAAAATGCTACTTATTTTAAAAACCCATAGCATATGTCTGATAGGAAGTTGCAGAACCCCTGTAAAATGTTGACGTTTGAATGCCAAGATAACCCAGGTTACTTCTTCCAGCTACAAAACTCACCCATGACAGAATCCCAAGGTGATACTTTTGACGGGGTCATGATAATAAATGGGCAATTATGCTGTTTCAATCCTCTAGCTCAAGCAGAGCTATGGCACGATCCATCTTGCCTCTCAGGCTCTATCTAGGGCCAACAAGACCACTTACAGTAAAGGAACTATATTGTCTCCTCCATCCAGTTTTACTGACATAATTATTCTCCCCAATCCACTTTAGTCCCATTTAAGTCCCATGTCATTGCTTTCCACAAAGCGTATGTCAGTGACTTTTGCTGGATTGTGCCCAGTGCGCACCAGAATCCCACTATTTGCTTATGGCAACAAACTGAAATACTAGAGCTGAAAATCTTACTTATTCATAATTTCATTCATAAGAGCATTTTCAAAGAAGTTATTTCTTTTTACATTTTAGACCAGGGTGCAGGGGGACAAAAAAACCACAGAGGGCCACTTTTATATTTTTAACTAACCCAAGGGTGCCCTAGCACTGTGTTAGCTAAGGAAAAGCAACTGTTTACAGCATTCTGCCCTTTTTTTTAAAAAAAAATCACCTCTCTGTTCACCCTCTTTCTTCTCTGCATGCCCATCTGTTGCCATCCTTCTCATTTCACACCCCAATTTCTCCACTACTGCCTTTTTAAAACTTATTTAGAAAATGTATACCTAACTGCTCATACTGATCTTATTTTTTTCTCACCACACCCATAGACACTCTGTGCCACCACAGATCTACACTTTTGTGAGGGCACTCTCTCACTATCCAACTGCCCTTCCACAACAGGTTTCTCTGCAACTCCAGTTCTGACCCTTCTTCAGCCTGTTATGACTTCACAGCCCTTAGGACCAGTAGGAAGCCAACAAGTTACAGTGCACGATTTCTTGTGCCTTTTATAATGCTTAACTTCAGATTCAGGGAGGGAAGGCAGCACAGTATAGCCCAGTGGTGGCAAACCTATGGCACAGCTGCCAGAGGTGGCACTCAGAGCCCTCTCTGTGGGCACACGTGCCATCGCCCCAGCCAGGCCCAGACCATTATTAAAGTGTCGAATTCTCTGCCAAATAATTTTAAGTAAATGAAAGCATTTGGGATTGCTTTCCTTACTTTTTTTTGGATCATCTTAAGTTAAGGTATGAGTTGTTTTTTCTAAAGTAAAACCTCAGTATTCAGGTTAAATTGCCGTGTTGGCACTTTGCGATAAATAAGTGGGTTTTGGGTCGCAGTTTGGGCACTCGGTCTCTAAAAGGTTCGCCATCACTGATATAGCCCAATCTCCTCAGATGTCAGAAGCTAGGCAGACTAGGTTCTTGGAAGGGAGGTTTTTGGAAGGGAGATCATCAAGGAAGACTCTGCAGAGGGAAGCAATGGCAAACCACTTCTGCTTCTCACTTGCCTTGAAAACCCCATGCTGGGATTGCGGTAAGTCAGCTGTGACTTGACAGCACTTTTACACACACACACCTTACACACAGACATCAGCTATTCCCCACCACCACCTGTTTTAGTATAGCAAAGCAGTTTTCATCTGTTTGAGGGATGGTTGTGATTCATTTTGAATGCTTGCCTTAAATACACATTTCATTTTGAACCAGACTATTTTTAAAGAGACACAACAGTTTGGTTTTTTAAAAATCAAAAATAGCTAGTTTTATGCACTCCAGTGAGGGAACCTCAGATACAGGTGGAACAAGAAGCAGGCAGATTGTAACAGGCTAGAAAATCAGTGCCAACTCTACCACACGCTATTGAACCCAGGAAGAGAAGCAATACGCACAGAGTTATTCTCCCATCCCCTCCATAACTTTTGATGGACTTTGACAAGCCTTAGATGTCCCCATAAAGGAGGAGGAAAAGCCTCAATACAGGCTACTTGGAATTCCTCCTAGGGAGCCACAGACTCTAAGCACAGGAAGGGGGTTGCAATCAGCACACAGGCATTATGTGGTGCAGGCCTGTTTTAGATCCAATACTCAAAGCTGCATTAAACTAAAAGCAACTAAATATCACAACAACCACAACCATGTACTGATGCTAGCATGACCACATCCAGTCTAACAAATTCCTGGTGTGGGGTTCACAAGCCAATCATTTTGCGGTTTCCTGTCAAGAGTTATCATAACATGAAGCCCACCAAGATCAGATGTAGCCTCAACATTCACGCTCAGAATTTGATCCACTAGTTATTTCCCCTTCTAAGTCAACAGTCAGTGGGCAATAAAAACCTCTTACTTGGAGAATTGTTCCTGTGAGTGTAGGGATTTGGGTAAGGAGCAGGACGGTGATTCCTCAGCGATGAGTACCTTTCACAACTGTGCGCAGGTGAGAGTGACAGAGATGCTCCAAACTGAGAGTGAGGATTGGCAGGAGGGCACAGAGGACCAGTTCCAGGAATCAGCCAGCCACCTACTATGAGAAGGAGGACAGGGAGAGAAGGGGAAATATTTCACTATACCAGTACATTGTGGCACAACCTGTCTAAGATAATACTGAGCCCTTTGCACACAACTTTTGGATAACATTTCAGAGAGTAGATCCCATGTAGTTATTATCCCTATTCCTAGCCAAGGCAACAAGTTTTGAATCTCCTTGTAAAAGAAATGGTGGGAGGGTGTTCTTGTGAATTACAAAGGAGAAAGGGGAGAAGCCAACACATTTTCTCCCATACAAAACTTGATTAGTTTTGCCTCTGTGTCCCACCTCTGGTATTCCTTGGAGGTTGCCCTTCCAAGTACTTGCCAGAGTCGGCCCTGCTTAACTTCTGTGATCTGACAGGATCAGGCTTGCCTGGGCTATCCAGGTCAGGGTGGATATGGATGTTTATCTGACACACATACACAGCTAGTTTTCCACAACAAACTTTTTAGGATCTGATTAAAGGAAGTCAGTATTTTGCTGCTGAATTCAACAGGAAGAGGTCTTCTCTCAAGGAAGACCTCCTGCAAGTTTTATGAAATATGCAAATTGTACTATTGATCAAAGAACAATATACCAGTAACAATGTATTGCACTGTTTAAATGGTAAGTGTTACAGAAGATCTAGGGATCCACGAGAAGGCCTGCCCTCACAGAGCACCCCACCCCTTCCTCCCTTGGTGTGTAGTTTAGGGGAACAGTGCAGATTCTCACTCCCCCCTCTTGTTCAGCGGTGGGAAAGAGGCAACACGCACTCAAGGATTTTCCAATCAGGATGCAGAAATAGTAAATAAAGTAGTAACCTGGGTGATTAACACTGTTCAGTTCAAAAAAATGTATAATCTGACAAAATTCAACCAAAGAGTTTTAAAGACACAAATATAGCTATATTAATGTCAAAAGGGGCATATTTGCAAACCCACACTTTTACCTGCATTAAACTCATGTATTATACCCTTGGATATGGGGGTGGGGGGGATCACAGATAATATTGATGATATAGCTATACTACCGTAATGTCAAAAAGGGCATATTTGCAAACCCACACTTTTATCTGCATTAAACTCACATATTATACCCTTGGATATTGGGGGGGGGGGATCACAGATAATATTGATGATACACTACGAAGTAAATTTTAGAGGGGGGAACATACATTGTGAATACCCTGACTGTTGACCATCTCCCACTTCATCCATCATGTCTTTGTGATCACTTCTGTCAAAGAAACCACACATTGCATTAGGCAAAAGATTAGATAATATGAAATAAATATATTTTGTAAATGCAACCAAAAGCTCTCACCTTTCTTTTGCATCAAGAAAAGCTTTTGCAAAGGGATTATACTTAATTTTTAAAGCTGTTATCTAAAAGAGAAAAGCCCAAATGTCATGATACATATTTGTCATGAAAACAAAAAAGCAACATCTCTATCAATTTCACTGCAAGTTTTACAACAGATGCTAGTGGGAAAATGGCCCAGAATGAAGCACTCAAACGGCAATAGCCCACTTTGAAATCATTCTCTCCACTACAACCAACCCCCTTGGCCCAACTTAGTGGCCCGGTTTTATTATCCTGTTAAGGAAGTTCACAAAGGGAGGGTGGGAATACACTCCAAGCAGTTATAAAAAGTTTCAGGTTTCTGGGTAAAGCCAAAGGGACAATAGAATGCAGCAAAGAATTCCTTAATCAGAATATCATGGTCACTTTATAAACAAAATTGTCTGATAGGTCATTAACATGTACTGAGTTAACAGGAAAGAACGCAGAACATGTCAGCAAGAGACTTGCATCACACTTTTAAAAGCTGCTACTGAAAGAAACACACACAAAAAGTTAAACTTCCTATATAAAAAGTGTGAAGTGTTCTGGGCTCAAGAATTAATGGAAGACTAGCACTTTGGTCTGAAGTTTCTAACAGATCATTAAAATCAATACTAAATAGTATTACAATGGCATTAATTGGCATTTGTCATTTATGCAGTTTTGGAAATGGAAAGGGCCTTTAACCAGTTTGTAGGTCACATTTTTAGTGGTTTTGTAGGATATACATATTCCAAATAAATAAGAGGTAGGTATATATTTCTGTTTGGTGGGTCAATCCTTGTAAAGGACGACTTTGGAAAATAATACAAAATAAATTAAAAGTATGGTGATTCATGAGACATGCTGTTAGGCTATATGTTTAGCCTCTAACAAAAAACAAATCATTAAAAAGTGATAAAAAATAAAAAATAAAAAGTGATCCAAACTTATTTAGATACAAGAAGTTTGGAATATAAACTTCACAACAGATTCAGACTCAACAGAGCAGATTAAAAAATTACTTTACGGACAATTTATGATCATTTATTATTTTTAGGGGAGCCGTTGCACTGGACAAAGCCTAATAAATGTAAAAATGTATCTGACATGATTTTTCACCCTATTTTATTGAAGTAATATTTTTTGTTCTTCATTGGTCACTGAAGCTCTTTTTACATAGTTTTTTCTATTATTTTGAATAAACAATGAGAATAGTATTTTAGATTAGGATAGGAATGACAGTTTCTGTACATTGCTGTTTTTAGTTTATTCTGTCATATTTTCAAAAACACAATAGAAACAGTGTCCATTATAAAACTGATCTTAATAATTTATGCACTTACACTTTGTGAAAAATGTTCTCATGTGAGTAACTGGGTAAACAATGAACAGAGTTAAATGTCAGGCATAATTTTAAATTCCATATTTTGATATGTATCTGTCAGTTTGTTGCCTGTAGAAATTATCTAGGCTTGACTATAAACAATCTGCTTATCCTGATTCAAACAGTAGGTTTACAATGAAAGTTCAAAAAAGTTGATGTTTGATGGTGCTAATTAGTTGAAACTATTTGTCATTAAAAATATTGCCGGTGTTCAAAATCTGTAATGTTTATTTTAATTCTCTCTTGATCTGATTAATTTACTGAGCAAAAGATAACAGCGTAACCACCACTGAGATACTAAACAAATCTTCCAAATAAACCCCACACCATCCAATGGCACTTATTTGTGCTAGGAAATATTAAAAAATGGGGGAGGGTGGTTACATGCCTGAAATGTGACTGTTGAACTGGAACTTTCAACAAAGGAAGCTGGTACTGCAACTAAAATATGAGCGGGTACTCAGTTATGGGGAGGTTCCCTTAATTTAAAAGTTAGGCCATCTTAATCCCAAATAATCATGATATGTAATATGTAATGTTTACAAACTCCTTTCATTTCCCCTCCCCACAACAGACACCCTGTGAGGTAGGTGGGGCTGAGAGAGCTCTTTCCAGAACTGCCCTTTCAAGGTAGGCTCTGACAGAACTATGGCTTGCCCAAGGTCATCCAGCAGTTGCAAGTGGAGGAGTGGGGAATCAAACCCGGTTCTCCCAGATTAGAGTCCGCACACTTAACCACTATGCCAAAGTGGCATAGAATAAACATGTTGCATAGAATTATAGCTGCGGGGATTCAACTAATCATTTAGTCCAACCTTCTTTGCCCTAACATAAGTTTTATAACTCAATATCCCTGTTGAATGCCTATCTAAAACCTCTAAAGAAGGAAATCTCAAAGCTCACCAGGCAGCTTATTTCCTTACTGAGGTCTTTTCATATTTAGGACATTCCTCCTACTGTTTAATATGTATCAGTCTTCCAGCAGTCCCATTGTTTTTTGCCCAGTCCTCAGTGGAAGTGAACAATTATTACTTCTCTGTTCTATTATCTTTTTAAGCTCCTGCAGACAGTAAACATACCCCCATATTCAAGAATTAGCCCTTTGTTGTTGGGTCTGTCACCCACTTTGTGCCTACCTCCTCATTTTGGTAAGCTGTCACAGCTATAAACTGAGTCTC